ACGTACCACATGATCCTAGAAGCCTACAGAGGAGACAGTCCAAAAGGCACATGGTCTCCAAGCTCCCACATCCCCTGGGATGAGGAAGAAGCACCCATAGCCCCTCAGATAGCCTCTGGACCACCCTGGGGTACATGTCCTAGGCCTAGGGATGGGAGCCCTGTCTCAAGTCTCATACCAGCTTCTTTTGTGACTATGCAAATCATGACCCCTCCAATCCAAATGAGGCCATTCCAACGGCCTACTACCTAGTGGGAGTGGGTACTGGAGCATGCTGGGAAATCAGAAAGCTTGGTCCTTAGCAAAGAATAAGGCTTTAGAGTGGGGAAAGAACATAGCTATAGTAGGAAACCACCATTATGACATCCCTCTTGATAAGGAGAAAAGTGACATACCTGGTCACACCCCACTTTGAGAGATGTCCGAGTCCACTTCTCAAAAAAAATAACTGCCTTCAGTGGTTATTTAAGGACATTGCCTACAACCTAATAGTTCTCAACTCTGATAGTTTATGTGGTGATTTTCACCCGGTGTGCCGCAGCACACTGCTGTGCCGTGAGAGGATCTTGGTGTGCCACAAAAATTTTAAAGATCATTAATTAAATTATTTCTGAAAGAAGTTCAAAGCCCAGCAAGTATTTTTTTCCTTTTTTTGAGCAAGATTGAGACCTCGAGCTAGGAGTGTGGCACGTACCTGTAGTCCCACCAACTTGGGAGGCTGAGCAAGAGAATCACTTGAGGCCAAGAGTTGGAGGCTGCTGTGTGCTATGATATCACAGCACTCTAGCTGTCTCAAAAAATAAATAAAAGAATAAAGTTTCAAACCTTTTGAAACTTAAAGGGGATATTGCTGTGTGGGACAATAGGTATAAGCCAGAACTCCATCTCACAAACTGGAAAATCAGGTGACCCTGTATAGAAGTTCATGTCTAAGAAATTAAATCAAGGTAACTCCAAAAGCCAACTGTAGCAGGTAAGGAAAGCAGGCACAGTATTAACAAAACAGAACCAGAGTGGGGGACAGAAGCGGGCAGGGCCTCCAATTCCTCCAAAGAGAAGAATTTCTGCAATTCTATTTTGTGGTAGGAGTTAGAGCAAATGTAACTGCCCAAGACCCTGGAGTAACAGGATTCTAGAAGGTTTAACCAGGCCACTTCATGGGATCAGACTAAAACAAATGATAGAACTGAGCTGCCAAGGGAACTGCTGCAGGAGTTGAGGACAGGGGCAGCCAGGACTGTAAGGAACAGCAAAAGAAAGCCTTTCTGGAATGCCCTTCCCTGGATGGAGGGGACCACATCATCAGCTTGGGGCACTGGGGAAGGAGGATGTGGCCAAGCTGCCTAGGAACACAAGAGAGGGCTGGTTGGGGTACTGCAAGTATCAGTGTAAGGAGGTGGCCTAATTAGCACACAGACTCACGGTCTCCACAGGGGAAAGGACTGTCCCTGCTCTATCCAGTGACTTTCAGAGGAAGCATTCCAGGCCCAAAGTACAAAGCTATGAAGAGAGACACATCGTTGGGTTCAATGTAAAGGCATGAAAATAGGGCGGCCAAGAGGCAGAATTATCGGCTTCAAGCGATGGTGAAGTGCAAGAAGAAAATCCAGCACTTTTTTTGGACTCCAAGCTGTCTGGGGGGGTTCAAGCATTGGATGGGGCCTGGACTGTTACCTCTAGGGTTTAATATTAGTAGTTCTCCCTAGCGACTCCTCTGAACCCTATTCCAGAGTGGAGACAATGGGAAAATATCTGACCAATAAAAAGTGAAACAGGGCAGGTCACCGAAAACTGGGGTTGTGAGTAGGGGGAAGGGTTCCTTTGCTGGCTCAGGGAGATGGAAAGACTTTTCTGAGAAAGATTCAGAGCGTAGCGGCCAACTGCGCCACTGAGAAGGAGGCCGGTTCAGGGTTGTCTAAGGTCACCGGGCACCCGTCCTGAGGCCGAGGAGGGCGGTCTAAACCCGCAGGGGCCTGAAGCTCCACTCCCGCCGCGGACACCCCGCGACCTTGTCGCTTTCCGAGCCCTCGAGTCCGCCCCAGCCCCGCGGAAGAGCAAAGCATCGGGAACCCCGCCCCCTCCCGGGTTCCTCCGAGTCCGGCGGCCGAACTAGACCTTCCAGGATCCGGCAGCCCCGCCGGGGTCCGGGCTGAACCAGGCCGCAGAGCTCCCACAGTTCGGGAAGCCGGGCCGCCACCACCCCGGGAGGGTAGCGCGCGGTTACCGGGTGCGGGGCTGCGGGCCGCGGGGCTCAGGACGTGCGCTCCCGCCCGAGACGAGACCGCCACCGCCGCGCCGGCGCCGGCTCCGGGCTTCCGGTGTGGACCGGCTGGTGCGGGTTTAAGTTCCCGGAGTGGGGCGGATCTCGGGGGAGTGAGGGGCTGGAGGGGCGGAAGAGAGAGCGGAGGAG